AGATTGCAGATCTGTTTACCAAAGCTTTTACAGTGAGTCGACATATGTATCTAGCAAGAAAATTGATGATGACCACCCACCATCAAATTGGGGGAGGCTGTTAAGTATTTTTTTTAGCTCGACCCATTGGATTAGAAGGTTCCTGGGTCACAACCAAGTCTCGCCATTAAGAAGGGTTAGGGTTTGGTATCCGATATATATATATATGTGATCCCTCGAATAAAAAAAGGAACATTAGCTTCGACGTGGAATAGTCTTGTTCACAACGAACAAGGAAACCACGTAAATCTCGTCTCGTTTTTGCTTTCGTATTGTTTATCTTTCTGAATGGCTAACAGGTGGCCCATTGAGCTCCCCGGTGGAGGAGCAGGTCAGGCGGTGGTCTTTCCGGTCGGTGACGGTTGCGGTGATAATTGCCGAAGGGAATACCTTTTCACCAAACAAAAATAATCAATTGCGATGGTTGGTGACTGTGTTTCCAGTGGTCATCGTGGCATCTTCTTTGTCGTAGTCTGATGAATCGTTACAATGATGGTTTCATCATTAAAGTTTTCTTTACGGAGTTGGATAAACATTAATTATTCAAAATTGTTTTTGTAAAAGGGTAATAACTCTTTTTTAAGAGTTTTGAATAAATTTGTTATATTAACATTAATTCAAATTATTAAATTTATTGACTTATAGTCGAAGATATTTTTCTATAGAAAATAAATATCAATATTGTAAGAGATTGCTCTTTGAGTTATGGAAACCCACTCGAGGGATAGTGGGTTGGTCCTACGACAAGTCTGACTAAGAAGTCTGTAGCAACCATAATTTGAAGAGAGCATTGAACACTTATTCTTCAGGTGCCCCCTAGCCACTAAGTTGTGGACCTTAGTTGGATTGAGCAAGTTCATTGATTCCGCTTTGACTGTTAATTTTAGTCTATGCTGGCGACATATCATGATATGAGAAATATCCCTATTTCACATTTTCCAATGCTTCTGTTTACTTTGATGAATCTGGAAGTTTAGAAATAAAGTTACTTTTGAATTCTACCAACCTCATGTATTTTCCCTCACAGACAATTCTACAACCAGGTCTTTGAAGTATCCAATATTTGCCCCCTTCTCCTCCCTCAGATCGCTCCTCCCAAATGCTCCTTCCGCCACTTGGGAGCCTCCACCAGACGACTATTTGAAGATTGACTTCGATTGAGATGTTCGTGACTCAGGGTGCTCATCTAGTCTTGTTATCCGTGGGCCACACGAGCATGTGGTGCTGGCAGTCGGTATGTGGCACCGGAGACAGAGAGTAGTCAACCCCGACTTGACGAAGCTCCTAGTAGTAAGAGATGCTATTATCATCGTTGCCTCAAGATTCTTGACTCACATGATAGTGAAAGGTGATTCCGAGGTGGTCGTCAACTAGATCCGATAAGGTGTTCTAGAAGATTCCTTTAGAGGTCAGGTGCTTTGAGAGTGTCTTCAAATCCTAGATTCTTTGTCAGTTTGTATAAAGTTTAGGCGGTTCCTAAACTGCCAACAGTGTTGCCCATAGAGTGGCGCGTAAAGCACTACTATTGTCTCTGCTCGAATTACATTAGAGTCTTTCGACTTCATTGGGTGGCTTCATTAGGGTGTCGCTTATAGTGGGTGTGTGAGTAGTTTTGTTTGTATCATTCGAAAATAATAAAGCTGAGAATTAATATATTTATTGTTAATTTATTCTAGAGAGACTATATAATAACTAAACCAGAAAGAAAAATGAGAACAAAATAAAATAAAAAGAAGAAGAAAAAGAAATGAGAGCAAAAGTCCATATCAAGGAGCGGCCGGCTGGAGGAAATATGCAGTTGCATCTTCGAAGCTTCTTGTGGCTATGGTTTCAAGAAGGGCAACAATACCACTGTCCGATGTAGGGATTCCAGTAACAACAGTCATCTAATATCCAACAAAATAAACAAGCATTCTTTAGTCCCCTCAAAAGAATTCGATTTTTCATGAGGTGATAATTATAATATATTAAAATACTAAACAGGAAAGTAATGCACAATATAAATGAGATATAAATTAATTATATAATTCAAATAAAATACATAAAGAGTGGTAACTTACTACTAATATACCCCTCCATCTCTAGAGACTTTGATAAATATAAGGTTATCATACTGGTTTATATCGTTGAAGACAATGTAACCTCCTTACAATCTACATTAATATTTATATAAAATACAACGTTCCAAACAAAACAACAAATATTCATATTTAAATACACATTTAACGTCAACACCCAAATGTTTATCATTGAATTCAAGTAACATAAATATTTAACTTTCAAATTCATGATATCAATCACAAATTAACTTCTTCATTAATTAAATTCACTAAAACAACGTTGGCCGAAAAACAATCACACCCATCATAGTAGGAGTATTCTAGTCTATTTTATATCCCATATCACTTGAATATGATTCTACTGACCGATATATCATTGGTTTGACAACCATAAATAAATATACCTCATTGTATGAAAGGAGGGGGGATTTGTTGGTGGTTTTGGGTGGATTTGTTGCTTCAACAACCAAATTCTCACCCGACTCCTACTTAACACTACTCATTCAGAATTTTGCTTTGGAATCCGAAATTTCAATTTGGTTCATTCGACGAATTTCGATCGCCGATCATGTTCTGTGCATATTGATTTTGACCCATGAAACAACTTATTTTGTTCGGTTCGGTAAACCCAAACCTAATGCTTATCCCTACTAAGTTGGAGATGACCCAATGAAATCAAGCTTTGTACATTTATAGAAAACATGGACTCAATCACTTTTTGTTTGGTTATAATGTTCAATTACGGTAAGAATGTGTATAAAATTTTATTACCATGCCATTTGAAATAAATATGTTCCATTATCTTTAAGTAGTTTATTTTATTTTAAAACGAAAAGTTCTTTTACTTGGAATCTAAGATAATTAATTGCATATTCTTTACTTTAAATTCTATGGAGTTGATGCTAGTTATAGAAAATTTGAATAATCGTGATGAAATTTTCAAATGAATCCCACAACAAATTCACTAATTAATATCAGTGACTTAATTACCCTAGTCAGAAAAATTAAATGTTGGGATTGGTAGCGTGAATGAGAATGCAAGGAAGGGTGCTAAAAGCTCACTTGTATCATAAAGGTACTTCTCTTCTATTCTAAGAGATTATCTCATAACCTTAGGTATTTTAGAGGTGAATGGAAATTCTTTCGAAAGAAGCAGCGAAATCCATTGCATCGGATATCCGCATGTTCATCAAGTACTTCATGCTACTTATTTTCCCATAAAATGTTTACCATGCAAGTTCAAGCACTTTAACATATACGTCAAGTAACAAATGCTATACTTAAGAATATGTGGACCAAGTCAGAAGAGCTTCACATAATTACCGTTTGGCCGAAAGCGGGATGAGGGAGAATCAGACGTTGCCATTTCAGCCGTAAGCGCAGCTGGAGCAATATTGACTGGGGCAACTCTTGCACTTGCAGTTGGAGGGATCACCGCTATGAACCAAACCATCAGCAGAACGATGAACTTTTTGATTGCCATGACTAATATTGAAGTGTTTTACTGACAGTTTGGGGATGACGATGATGAAGAAGAAGGTGTTGGGTTTGCCTATTTATGCCAACTTGGGTTACTCTTACGTAGTTTTGAACGCACAGAGTTTCGGATGCCCCGGTCTCTGCTTGTTTTGCTCTCAGGTTTTTTCCCATAAATTTCACGGGGGTGTCCAAGAGAAGAATAATATTCCTCTGCCATTTCCCAATACATAAAACTCTATTATTTATGAAATGGCCGGTTGGCTAATTGGTTGGTACATCGTAAACTGTTAGTAAGAACTTGCTTATACAGCTTCCCTGGGTACTGGGGTGGATGATAGAAGGATTTTTTTTATTAAAGAAAATGAGAAAATTTGGAAGAGTAGATATGATGAGAAATGTTCATATAAGACCGAGGGTTTGTTTGGATTGTAATGAGTGATCTGTGAGGAATTTTAAAATAATTTCTCGTTAAGTAGGATTTTAAAATAATTTTGCATTTGGGAAGATAAAAGGATTGTGAAATCAAAGATTTCGAAATCTCTCAAATACAACTTTTTTAAATAGCTGGTGGGTAAAAACTATTTCAAAATCCTGAACTTTATATTTTTGTTCCAAAATTGTCCCTTCTAATTATATTAAATTCCAACATTACCCTCCTTTAAATCCGCATCAATACTTCCCTCTGCCATCTCTGGTTCTCTTCATCAAATTCAAAGACGTCTACTCGAGAACGTCGAGCAACATATTCAAAGTTCGTATACGAGGGTTTCTTCCGAGAAATTCGTGTGACAAAATTACATACAAAACACTGAAACTAAACCATTCGGAGGGACGAGAAGCGAATGCAGGCTACTTTGCCACGTTTGAACGTTAATATCAGCAACTAGCTATCAATGATCAAAATTCAAAATGCAGGGACTTGCCTGGTAGACAGATTATTGAGCATAGCTGTAAGCGTCATCACCGCCATTCGTTGGACATTCTCAAATGATCGTCTCATCCTCCTCTTTACTCATTTCTGTACTTCTATCTGCTGCTCTCTGGGAGTTCGTCATAAGCTTTCAACTTTGGTTTTGCTTGGCACCAAAATCCTAAAAAGGAACATGCAACAATAGCGTAAATACTAAATACTGAAAGGGATGTACATCAGAATCATGGTTGGCTAGTTTCCGGACTCTCTTCCTCTCGAGACAACTACATATATATGTTGTTTTCATGCGTTCACCGCATCCTTGAAGGGATCAACCGCCCAAACAACCCGTTCACCGTTTCCCTTGAAGGGATCCACCGTCCTGTTGGGGGGTAAATACAATTTCTATCTCCCTTGATTAATTAGCTCTCTCTCGATGCTAATCATTGATTCATGGTGGAGCATCAACATACTGATGGCTCTATATAAATAAAAGCCAAATATCTTTGCTCCAATTATCAAAATCAAATCTCCTGACAAAATGGCACTTGTCTATCTATCTTCTCCTCCTCCCACTCTCCATCACCATCCTCGTCGTTGAGACCGTTTCCGGACTTCTCTCCACTTCTGCAGCTTCCAAACACCGGCAACCGCCGCTGCGCCCAGGCCCGAAGCCCTGCCGATCATCGGAAACATTCCACACATGACAAGAAAGGTTCACATCACCATGTCTGAATTCGCCAAAACCCACGGTCCATTGATTTCAGTGAAGCTCGGCACTCAACTAATCATCGTCGCCTCTTCCCCGGCTGCCGCTGCAGAAATCCTCAAACCCCACGACCGTGTCTTCTCGGCAAGATACGTAACCAAATCAAGTCCGTTCAAAATCAGCGATATTGATAGAATGACAATCGTGTGGGCTTCCAACTGTAACGACAGCTGGAAGTCCCTACGCGGGCTCTGCAGGACGGAGCTTTTCTCTGGCAGAGCAATCGAGTCGCAGGCCGCCGTCAGGGAGAGGAAAGTTAGCGAAATGGTCGAATTCCTTGCCGCGAGAGAAGAGGAAATGGTTGATATTGGGGAAATCGTGTTAACGACCATTTTCAACTCGCTGTGCAACCTTTTTTTCTCTGAAGACTTGTTGGGGTTGGAAGATAGTAAGGGGAAGGCTAGTGGGTTAAAGAGTCATATTTGGAAATTGATGGAGCTAGCATCTGCTACCAATATTGCTGCTTTTTACCCTTTTCTGGAACCCCTAGACCCTCAGGGCTTGAAGAAGAGGACAGTAAAGGTTGTCACCCAGATATTTTCCGTTTGGGAGAGTTACATCAGGGAAAGAAGGGAAATTAATGAATCAAAATTGCATGGCCACGCTCCGAAAAGGGATTTCCTGGACGTTTTCCTTTCAAATGGTTTCGACGATCAGAAAATCAATTGGTTGTTCTTGGTAAGATTCAACTTTCAGTTCAATGATTCCTTACTCTGTTTTTCGTTTACTCTAATTTTCTTACTCTGCTCGGGAATTCGACAGGAACTGCTGACGGTGGGAACATAGACCACCACTACAACAGAGGAATGGGCAATGGCCGAGCTTCTAAAGAACAGAGAAGTAATGAGGAAAGTTCGCGAAGAGTTGAATAGAGAGATTGGGGAGAACCCCATCACAGAAGCGAATGCTTCCCAGCTGACATTTCTCAACGCCTCCATAAAAGAGACATTCAGGTTACACCCACCAGCCCCATTCCTCATTCCACACCGTGCTCTCGAAACCTGCGAAGTGATGAATTACAGAATACCAAAGGATTCCCAGGTGATTGTTAATGTGTGGGCGATTGGGCGAGACCCGTCCGTTTGGGAGGACCCGTTATCTTTCAGGCCTGAGAGGTTCATTGATGGCTCCATCACGGCGGACTTCAAAGGTTTCAACTTTGAGCTACTGCCGTTCGGCTCCGGTCGGAGGGTGTGCCCGGGACTTCCCATGGCAGCTAAACAAGTGCCGTTGATTCTGTTGGGATGAATAGTCTTGAAAAGCTATAAACGAAATTCCTAATTAATTATCCAGTATTTTCCCCATAATACGAAAATAAGATGGATAATTAATAAAATGAATATTATGGAGATAATTAGAAATAATTATCTTAATAGATTATATTTTAATTATGGGAGTAATTATCTCCCTAATTAAAATGTGACTTATTCCCAAAGAAAGAGGGAATATTCTGGGTTTTCTGCTCCTATAAATAGGAGACGCCCCAGACCCACTAAACACACCTCAGAGAGCAGAAACACGAGATAGAGAGTGAGTTCATAGAGCTCCGGTTTTTGCACAAAACCGATGAGCAAATCATTAGATTGGCTGTTTTATCCTGGAGGCGACCGACTGATAGTCTGCTGTGCGAATAACGAGGCAGTGCCGCGAACGTCTTAAAGAGAGCGACCTAGTCCGCGACTCAGCCAGATCGGTAACCCTAATTTTTTTGTTCGGTTTCTAACAATTTTAAGACGTTCGGCTGCTGCTATGTCGACTGAACAGAACAACATGGCCGGATCTGGTGCTGTCGATATCAATCGACCCTTTCGCTTCGTTGGGGTCAAATTCCGTCGCTGGAGACAAAAGATGGAGTTCTACCTGATGACCAAAAAGCTGGCCCACTGCCTCACCAGCATGCCCGTCGAGCTGCCGGAAGAAGCGACCGATGAGGAGAGGGCTGCTGCTGCCAAAGAAAGGGAGCATGACTTCCTGTGCAAGAACTACATCCTCAACGGCCTGGCAGACGATCTCTACGACTACTATGAGGACAGTAAGAACACCGCGATGATGATCTGGGAAGCGCTCCAAAAGAAGTACGGCACTGAGGAGGCTGGAGCTAAGAAGTATGCTGTCAGCCGCTACCTGCGCTACCAGATGGTGGATGACAAGTCCGTCGAAGTTCAGTCCCACGAACTTCAGAAAATAGCTCATGAGATCGTCTCTGAAGGTATGCCTCTGGACGATCAATTTCAAGTTGCTTGCATTATTGATAAGCTGCCCCCTTCGTGGAAAGATTTTAAGAATATGCTTAGGCACAAAACCAAAGAATTTTCACTTGAAAGCTTGATTACCCGCCTAAGGATTGAGGAAGAGTCCCGCAAGTAGGATATGAAAGAAGAGGTGATGGTCGTCACTGCTAAACGACCCCTAGAGCTCTTAAACCTAACCAGAAAGGGTTTAAGAGTAAGAACCAGCAGGTCCGCCCCCACCAGAATGGTGCCTCTCGAGGTAACCAAAGGGTCATGGCCCAAACCGCTAAGAATGACCCACCGTTTATCTGCTATAACTGTGGAAAACCGGGTCATATGGCAAAAAAGTGCCGGAACAAGCAAAACCCTGCCGCTGCGGCCAGGGTTAACTTGATAGAAGAGGATTTGATAGCCATGATCACAAATATAATCGCTGAAGTTAACCTCACCGGTGACTCAGAAGGATGGTATCTGGATACAGGTGCATCGAAGCATGTATGCAACAATCGTGCTATGTTTAAAACTTACACAGAAGCACCTGCTGACAAGAAAGTGTTGTTGGGGACTACTCACACCACTATGGTTACTGGTTCTGGTGAACTGGAGCTGAACTTCACCTCTGGGAAGAAGATGGTGCTCAAGGATGTGTTGCACACTCCAGAGATAAGGAAGAATCTTGTTTAGGGATATCTTCTTAATAAGGCTGAGTTTAATCAAACTATTGGGGCAGACTTGTATACCCTTACTAAGAATGGGAGTTTTGTGGGAAAGGGATATGCATGTAATGGGATGTTCAAGTTGAATGTCGAAATTAATAAGATGAATTCTTCAGTTTACATGGTGTGTGATTTGAATGTTTGGCATGCTCGTCTTTTTCATGTGAACACACGAATTGTGAAGAATTTAAGCAAGCTAGGACATATCTCTAAACTGTCAATGAATGAATTTGATAAATGTGATTTCTGTAGCCAAGCTAAAATAACGAAAACGCCCCATAAATCTGTGAGTAGAGAGTCAGAACCCTTAGATCTGATTCATTCTGATATTTGTGAACTAGATGGGACGTTAACTAGGTCTGGCAAGTGATAGACCGTTAATTTTTTCACCCATGTTCTTACACCGTTTGAGGTGTTGATTCTCGTGTTTTAGGCCGATTTCACGCTAGGTTGTGCTTGTTTGTCATATTTCAGGTCCTAGTACGTGAATGGAGGCTTGGGAGCGAGTTTGGGGTCGATTGGACGAAGATCGGACGCGTGGCGAGGTGCTAAGGAAGCCGCACGGGCATTCCTGGACATCACACGGCCGTGCAACTCACATTTGTGGCTGTGTGATTTTCGTCGAGAGCAAGCACGGGCAGGATGGAAATCCCACACGGCCGTGCGACCCTGGCCGTGTGGGAAGCCTGAAGATCGAACTAATTGATACGCCGCGTTTTGACTCACACGGGCAACTGGGTGAGCCACACGGCCGTGTGGCCTGCCCGTGTGAGTCGGGAAATCTTGTTTTTTCAGCCAATTTTGAGCCAAAAGAATGAGGATCGGATTTCTTGAGCAAATACAGAGCCCTAGAGAGAGAAAGTACGAATAACACATCCTAGAAGCTATCTTGGAGCTGGGTTTCATCAAATCAAGCTTGGAGATCGTCATAGGAGTGGAAATCATCATCCCAGAGCAGATTCTTCCCATTGTAATGAGTATGACTGCTTTGTATCTTGTTTTCCTCTCTCTCTCTCTCTATGGAGTAGAACCTCTCTCTCACTTGGGGATGAAGAACCCTAGTTCTATGTGTTAGTGATTGATTGTAATGACTTGGGATGATATTACTGTTTGATTTTAATCGAATGATGCATGTTTATTGAGTCAATTGAAGTCTGATCAACTTTTCCTGAGTCCTGCTGCAATCTGAGATAGATAGAATCTGATTAGGTTGCTAGAGTCTCATCATTCGGTAGTAGGAGATTGGCTATACGAGAGTTAGCCAGTTTATTGCTTTGTACTGGAATCCAATTCCAGTAGTGGAGTTCTGTTCTTATTGCTTCAGCTTTCTATCCCGGTGAAGACTAGTCGTCTGCCGGGTAGTTAGACTGAGAGGGCTTGGTCAGCTTAAGAGATTCCAAGCTACTATCGGATCTTCCGCAGTCTAATCAACAGTAAATCAACCAGGAAAATACAATTGAAAACTAACTAAGGAGCTAGGGGGACTCATTCCCGAGTGACTCTTACCTGCTTGAGAAAACCGTATCAATTCCTGCTTTCTTTCTGCTTTTGCTTTTAAACAACAATCACTTATTTTAGTTGGCTAGATAATAGAGTTTCACTGAGTAAGCAGTAGATCTAGACCCCGGGTTGATAATAGAACTTGTCACTTTACTGCATTCCCGGTCTGCGATTATACTTGGTCGCAGTTTGGTGTTGTGTTTTAGAGCATCAAGTTTTTGGCGCCGTTGCCGGGGACCCTCTAGGTTATTGGGGAAACGTGAGAATTTGTTACTCTAGCTTTTTATTTACTGAATTTTATCTCTTCCACCTGTGTGCCTTCACGGGTTGCTTCTGCTGATTGTGTGCAGGTAGTGCATGACCCGTAGCCAGTCGGGAGATCTATTACCACTAGACCAGGAGCTTGAACGAACCTGCAGAAACTTCAAGCGGGCTCTAAAGGCGCGACTGGCTGCGGAGGAGGCGCTAGCACAGCTACAGATCACTGAAGAAGAGGAGATGGCCGATCCACAGGACCATGATGTGGTCAATCCTGGGGAGCAGACCATGGGTCATTACTGGACCGCCAGGGCTGCAGACATGAGGTCACCCATTCAACACCCTCATGTCCCAGCCAATAATTTCGAGGTGAGCACCTCAGTAATCACCATGCTGCGCGGTTCAGTGATGTTCCGAGGCAAAGAGAGGGAGTGCCCTCGTACACATCTCAGGAGATTCCACGAGCTCATCGATGGAATCAAGATCAATGGGGTCCCAGCAGATGCCATCCAGCTGAGGTACTTCCCATTCACCCTGGAGGGGCAGGCCAAGGAGTGGCTAGACACTCGACCTCCGGGCTCCATCACCACGTTCGCCAACCTGGCGGACAAGTTCCTTACCCGCTACCATCCTCCGTCGAAGACGGCGGACTTGCAGAAGCAGATCACCCACTTCACCCAGGATGAAGATGAGACTATCCGGGATGCTTGGGAGAGATACAACAGTCTCTTCCTGAGGTGTCCCAATCATGGTTTCAACGATGCTTTCAAGGTGGGAACCTTCTATCATGCCCTCTTCCCAGAAGATAAGCAACTGATTGACTCAGTTTGTGGCGGGAACATGCTGACTAAAACACCACCACAGCTGAATCAACTCTTTGAGGAGATGGCAGAGAACGGGTATGATTGGGGCACTGCGAGGAGGTCGAGGAGAGCACCAAGCCGAGGTGTACATTCTGTGGGAAACCATTCCTCTGATTTGGTGCAGGTGGTGTCGAAGCTGGTTTCAGCTATCGATCGTTCCGGGATGATTCCAGGGACCGGAAAGCAGCAGGCGATGCTCTGCCAGTGGTGCGAGAGCACCCATCATACAGTGGAAGACTGCCAGGCGATGAAGGAATCGACCACACCCCAGGAGCAGGTGAACTTCATAAAAAATGTCAGGCGCAATGACCCCTACAGTAACACCTACAATGAGGGGTGGCGCCAGCATCCCAGCTTCTCCTGGGGTGGGCCAAATTCCAGACCACCAGTCCCCCAGGGACCACCGGTCTTCTAGAGGCCACCATATCAGCCCAGACAGGGGCAATTCCAGCAGCAGTCTCTCTACCAGTCCATGCAGGGGCATGCTGCTCCATCACAACCGCGACCTTTCCAGCAGCCAGGTGCAGCCCCTGCCGCCCTAGTGCAGAATGATCAGATGGCTGAATTGCGGGAATTGGTGGGTTCTCTCGCCAGTTCTAGTGCTCAAAAAATTTAACACTATCGAGCAGTTCATGGAAAAGGCATCGGGTAAATTCCTGGCTCTTGAAGCTGTCCAGAGG